TGGGCATGTGACTCGGACCTAGCCACGCCAGGGACACGCGCCAAACATAAGCCCAAATGCCGCCAGACCCGCTTGTGCGGGACGCGATTCTAGACCTCCAGTACGCCTTGGCGCGAAGAGTTTGGGCGCGGCACAGGCTACGCGCGAATAGAAAGGAACATGCGTAGAGTAGACCACAGAGCCGCAAGAAGCCCCGTCGCGTTTCCCAAGGGATGGTCACATCAGAGTCCTAGATATGGTCGTAGGTACACCTCTGACATGTCCTAGGAGGCATGGCCTAAATCCCTGACACGTCAGTGGTCATGTCATTGTCACATCATGTAACTCAACCACTCACCCACCACCTTGTAGCCTATAAATACGGCATTTACTCTGGTGGGTGAGGGAATCGCATTTTTCACATTCTATCTCTATAATATCAACTTCTCTCTCTAAAAACTTCAACTCTTTGGTTCTCATCCTTCTGAACGATTTTCCCCTCTTGTGTCCTTCTTGACCCACATTCTTCCCCGAACCTCACTCCTACACTCAGTTAGGTTCAAACAATAAGCCATGTGTAAATTGTATAATATATATTTTGCTATAACAAAAAATCATTAATAACTAAAAATAAATTTTGTTTATTTTTTTGCTTTATAATATATATGAGAAGTATTTAATAATATTTGAACAAAATCATAATAAACAATAAAGTGAATTTTGAAATTTGATTATACAAAAATTCAGTAAAAAAATGTATGTGCTTCTTCTTTCTCTCTATGTTGTTAGAGGCTTTCTATATTGGACGTGTAAACATGGACTTCAGAGGACCAAGGTATTATTGGTTACAAAATTGAGGGTTACTATTTGCCGCCCGTGTCATTACTATTTGCCGCCCATAGTTATAAACAAAATTACAATTTTACCCTTCTTTCAATTCGCCGCCGGCTCTGCCTTCCCTCCCGAGGCCGGAGTCTGTCTCCCCACCGCCTCTGCCTACTCACCTCCCTCCGACCGGCGGCGGCGGACCCCGTCCGACCAGCGCCTAATGCTTTTTTTTTTCTTTTTTATTTATTTAATTACCTAAACTGATTTTACTCAACCGACGGACATAAATACGGGAACTACCTAAAATAATATCTTGAATGTGGATTTTATTGTTAATTAGGGGAAATAATTGTCTTAATTAAAATTCATGGCAGTAAGCCAGTAAGGAATTCGGATTCTAATATGGGTAATTAATTATTAAAGTCTGATTCCCTTAACTTCGTTGTAGCAATCAAAGAGCCATTAAGAATAAAAATTGTAAAAACATTATTGGGTAAGTTAATTAGAGAACTGAATTTAGACGTGGGTTATGGCCTATGGGGAGGTGAATCCATTATTTAATAACTAATTACCATAAGTTATAAGAATAACAATTAATATATAATTAATTTAAATATGTATATTTAAGTATAATTATAAATTATCCCAAAAATTCTACAGAATATATTCTTTGGTATTTTGTAATATGCTTACTAGAAGTATGTATATTTAATTATTAATTATCATAAGTATTCTAAAAAATTATGGATAATTAATTTAAATTATGTAGAATGGTTATAAAATACTTATTAAATTTGTTTAAACCTTTTTTAATTACATTAATTTCATAGTTAATTAGATCATTCCTAAGCTACGTTTTATCAAACATTATCCAATGAATCGGGGATCGGAGAGGGCTCTTTGTGGCTTGTTGAAGGTCGAACAAAAATATATTTTCGCAATTACTAGAGACATGGACATGAAAAATGGTTGAAACCCTCACTGATCCCTTAAAATGTGGAGAGGATTGTGGTGGAATCAACCGTTTCTCGATTTAATGTCCCGATAAAAAAAAGATGAGTAGTGTCGAAATTTCCTTCTTAGTTTTTGGAGGCTTCGTGGATCGTAACGAGGTGTTTCTTGAGCCTACTACGCGTATTTCGATGATACGAACAAATGTTGTTAGTGGTGGTAGAGATGATTTTGCTTCTAAAACAATGTCGTAGTAGGAATGAATGGATTGAGGTTTCAGTTAACTATTTTGTTGGAATAAGGGTTTAGGGTTTGGGAGGGATAGAAGATGTACATTGGGAAAGAGATGCTTTGCTTCTTTGTATAAGTTAACGAATATACCTAATTTACTAATTATATCATTATACTATTGATCAAATGCTAATCTCATTAATCTATAATCCGGTCACACCATATATTAAAATAATATATCTATAATTTTATCATTAAGTTAACCCATACCCACGTATTGTTTCATTAAGTAATTTTTTTGGATTGTCTTTAATAATAAAAAATTTCCTTTTGATGGGCCTAGTCGTGTCAATTAGGGAATTGAACCTAGACGTGGGTTAATTAGGGATGTTAATGGGGGAACTAATTACTATATTTAATTATTTCCATAATTACCGTAGGATGTTAATTAGAGGAATAGATATTTCACCAAAAAAAATTAGAGGAATATATATATATATATATATATGGGTTAATTAGAGAAATTTTGGTATTTAATAAAATATTTAATATTAATTAAATCAAATCCTAATCTGGGTCAAACCATTCTTTTTGGATCCGTTATTTTTTGGATCCGTTACGCAAAAAATAAAAAAATTACCTTAAGTGATTAAATTAAAATCACCTACTACTATTAAAATAGATAATTAATTATTAAATTTTGGTTCCCCTAATTCCGTTGGTAGAATTTAAGGAAAGATTGATTTTGTTGTCAATTATTATCATAATCCATTTTTCTGTTTCCAATTGATAACAATCTTAAATAATATTAAAGAAAAATTAATCTGTATTAAAAAAAAAATTAACTCCGTCCGACTCCCGGCGACGGACCCCGTCCGACCTCCGAACGGCGGACCCCGTCCGAACTCCGGCGGCGGACCGAGCTTCTACGACCGTCGGATTGCAAGCGTCGGCCTACCCATCTCTGTCGTGAGGTGAGGGAGGGGAGGGGAACAACGGCTGTGGTTTTGGGAGAGAGGGAGTGAGAAGGTGACGAGCGGCGGAGGTGGTCTCTGGTGACTAGGGTGGTTGGCGGCGGAGGTTGTTTATAGTGACCGGCGGCGGAGATTTTACAGGTGGCCGGCGGCCATGTTTGGGAGGGAGGGTTGGGGATAGATAGGTTTAGGGTTTAAATTAGAGAAGGGGCAAATTCGTCATATTTTTTGTAACTACGGGCGGCAAATAGTAAAAGCACGGGCGGCAAATAGCGATCCACAAAAAATTCTAGTGTAATGGAAATATTGGATAGAAGCCTGTGCAATTTGGAATGGCATCCGAGCTCCCCCTAGTCAACCAACTTTCACCTGACCAAGCTTAAATCAGACCACTTTTCGATAATGACTTAGTCAAGTATCCCTGACAAAAGCAAACTGGAGAGAAGGTTCCAGTTCCTTGTCCAATAGATTGCCAACCAGAATTTTCCCCCCTTCATGGAATCGTCTTGGACTAATGGGGAGGATTTTCCCCCATCCACGAACCCTCTCTATCAAACTCCAAGAGCACAACTTAAACATCTTTGAAAACATTTTCAGTAAGAAGAGAAACTAGGGAACTAACTACAAGACTTGGAATTCAAGAATGAGAGATCTCCTAACAACCTAACCAGACTTGAGAAAAAGGATGTCAGGGAAGAGATGGAGAACACCTTATGGCAAGACGAAATTATATAGATGCAGAAGTATAGGGCAAACTGGATTCTTCAAGGGGATCAAAATAGTCATTCCTTTCACACCAGTGCCATCAGTATGCACAAAATAAACATGATTACGGGGCTAAGGGATGATAATGCACAATGGATCATGGATCCAAAAACTCTGCAAATAATGGCGATGTATTTTTTGTTCATCTATATGTCAAGGATGAAGGTGGCCCTCGTTAGAACATCCATGTGGAGTTTCCTATGGTTGTGGATCACCTACTTGCTTACATTGGAAGCCACCCCTTATATGGAGGAGGTCCGAAGAATGGTCATGGAGAATTGGAGATGAATGACCTCAAAACTCCTGAAAAGATGGCTTTCAAACAATCGTTTATTGAAAGTGTTGGTACCAAGTTGTAAACAAATACTTCAGCTTCGTCTCAAAATGCTATAGTGACCCAAACTTAATCAGCCAAGAAAATGAAACATTATTGGCCCTCATCCCTAAATTGGATGTCCCGGTCTCTATGAGCCAATTTTGCCCAATTAGCCTTTGTAATATTTCCCATAGAATGGTGGCTAAGTGTCTAGTTAACAAGCTAAAACTTATTACGCTCCACCTGATTCATAAAACCCATTCTAGCTTTGTCTCATATAGACATATAACTGATAATATATTCTCATTTTGCAGGATTCTGCTCATTCAACAATGAGTAAGAATGGAAAAACAAGAGTAATGCTTATTAAGATTGATCTAGCAAAAGCCTACGATCAAAATGGCTGGAACTTCTTGGAAGAGACATTGAGGATGGATGGAATCCCAGAGATCAGCATTAATATTTAAATGAAGTGTATCACCACCACAGAGATGCAAGTGTTGTAGCATAGATGGAAATCGAAAGCTTCAAACCATCAAGAGGTTAAGGAGTGGATTAATGTTACAGGTGAGTGGGATTGGGAACGTATTAGAAAATTTCTCCCTAATAAAATCCAACTTTAAAGTATAGGGAAGGACTTTACTAAACAAAAAGAGCGCACTAATACTGATGATTTTCTGTCGTTGATGGACACTTCCTTCCATATCCTTTGTTTTACAGCATGTCGTTGAAAGAAATTGCCAACAGTTTACTATCGCCAAGTCTCACTGTCTCAGCTCCTAGAAACAACCCTGTTGTCATACAGCATGGAAAGAAAAGGTTCAGTGCTATCCTGTTTCCATCCTTGCCAAACAGTTCAAGTCATATGTAGACCGAGCTAGCAATTAGCATGCTGTCCTCGTCTGTGATGAAAAGTTCAGAACTTTGAGCTTGTATAGAACCCACATCAATGTGAAGCTCTTTATGCCATATCAGCTGTATGTATTCATTGTATTGTAAAACCAGGGGAACAGCTGGCAGACCAAGATCGACCCACTGCATAAACCCTAATCACAAAGAGATTCAATTCGACAATAACGGGTTTGTTTTTGGTTGACATGGGGTTTTGTTGAAATGGGGAGGAGACGATCGGCAGAGGCCAGAGAGAGAGAGAGAGAGAGATTGCATACAGAGATCGCATCGGAAATTCAAATTAACGGCGACTAGCGGCGGGGAGAGACAGAGACGAAGCAGCAGATCTGAGAAAGATCTCCGCAAAAAGGGAGAGGTGCGATTCTAAAGTAAACAGGACAGTGAAAAATTAGTTAGAAGGACATTGCGATTTGCGACAGAATAGTAGTAGTAGTTGGCTTTCTGATTAGGCATTTCGTTCCCAAATCTCAACACACTTTTTTTCCCCTTTCCTTTGAGCAATGGCCACCGAACCCAATCCAGCTTCCTTCCTACTCCTACTGTTACTCCTCCTGCTGCCGTCGATATTCGCCACCGGCAAGAAATTCCACATCACCGACGACCTCCGGGACGTGGTGGACGACGAGGAGGACGAAGCGTGGAAGGAATGGGGGAAGAAGAAGACCTCCGACGTGTTCGACCCGCCGCCCTCCGACATGTCCGGCATGGAGCTGGAGCAGATCCAGGAAGCGTTCATGAAGCGGACAATGGGCCCCGTTTTCGGGTTCGTGAAGCTCCGACCCGGCGTCAAACGTACTCCGGTAAGCCAAACTTCTCATCTCTTTTAGGTTCCGATTCGCCGGACTTGTTAACTCCGGTGGTGTTGGGGTTTATTTTGTTCAGGATACGGTGGCGGATCTCGCTCGGAAATGGACCAAAATGCTGAGGGCTGGAGCGATGGAATTGAATCTCATGGGGATTGATCGGAGCACCATAATGTTCAATATGGCCGAAGGCCGCCGCTCGCTTGAAGTGAGCTTTCCTTTCCTTCTTTTTCCCCCTCTCTCTGTTTCTTGATCAGATTTTGGGCTTGATTCTCTTTCTATTTGTTTTTCCCTGGGAATCTGCTGCAGCTGAAGGAGTTTGTATTGAATCAGCCGGAGGCATACGAGATCAAGATCGGAGATAACTTGTTCAGGAGGAAAGGAGATCCGCCATTAGAGCAAGTCATTGAACAGATCCACCGAGCCAAGAACGAAGCCTCTGATGGTACGGTGGAGGAAGAGCATCATGAGAGGGAAGAGGAAGAAGAAGAGGATCCCAAGGATGAACTCTAGCTTCTTCTGCAACTTTAGAAACCAATATTTTGTTAGTTTCTGAATGAACCTTTTACGCAGCTGGTGCGAAGTGTTAGTGCCATCTTTCTGTGTTAGAAGTGTGTATTTAGCTAGCTGTCTTGAAAAGTGCAAAACTTTGAGCTAATAATAACCAGATCAATGTCAAGTTCCTTCCTTTTGCCATATCAAGCAGCTTATATCATGTCAAAACCAGCACATTGCCATCTAACATCTCAACCAAAAACCCATTTCTATCCTGGTACAGCTCTAACTTGGGTGGGATCTCCAGCAGTGGGGGTATACCTCTCGTGGAATCTCCAACGGTAGAGCTGTACGAGGATAAGAAATGGGTTTTGGCTAAGCAAAAGGGGCGGCAGTTGTTTCAAGATCGAGCTACTTCTCAGCCATGGCCACTATTTTGTGTTTTGAGAACCAGAGAGATAGAAGAAGAAGGCATTGGGTAGCTCTGCTGATATAGGTAAATCTGTCTCAAAGCAACTGTGGAAGTGGAAACCATTAAAGGAGGTCTGTTGGGGTTAGGTTCGTGATATTTATGACTTGGGGGGAAATGTGGAGTGGACAATAGTCCCTTATTATCAGTCACATTTGTAACTTGTAAGAAGACAGAGACGGAAAATGAAATGACCAAACGAATTCCCATAAATCAAAAAGATTAGTCCTGAATAAAGGCTTTTTAGATTTGGTTATTAGAGTTCTGTGGTTGGATATGATATGAGTGTCAATTGTCAAACTGCCAACGACTTGTATTTTCAAGAACAGGAGGTTTAGTGCATTTACCAGGTACCTTGCTTCCTGTACAAATAGTTTAGTGCATGTTTTGGGAACTGATCAATTAGCATTGTTGTCAAGAGAGAATGAAGAAGTCATCAAGAAAGCTCGAAGTCAAATGGAAGAAAAGCATTGTTGCAAGCAAATATTCTTCTCATCCCTATAGGAAAACCACACACATACCAAAAGTTCTTTGCTCTGAGTAATGGCTATTAGCATTTAGCACAAATGGGTTTACCAGTTTCTTGAGTGTGATTGTCTCCTCAATGAGATGCTTCAAGAAATGGGCCATGGACTTGAGGTTGGTTTTCAGGGAGAGATCTCAAATTCTGGAAGGGAAACACTTTTTCCTCTGTAGGGTTTGAAGAAGATGAAGGAGAAAGAGAAATTTTCAAGAGGGGAATACAGAGAGGAAAATGTAACTTTTTCTTTACCCCTACCGAGCTCCTAGCTTTCCCAGCAGAACTTCCAGCAACAATATTAGTTCAAAAAGGCACAAATTTTCTTACCTTGACGAAAACAGAATATGCCTTCAAAGTGGTGTGGAAGGTTTGTCAAGCATCTCCTATAACAGGAAGCTGACAACACTGTAGTCGTGATTCGCCTCCATCCTACGATATTCATCTGATCATTGAATATCTTGCAGAATCAGATGTTTCTCCAATACTCCATTAAATGGATGATAGAAACAGGAAGGTAAAAAAAGACTCTAAGGGGTCTGAGCTACTGCTAAAAGCCTAAAACAAGAAAAGCTAGATTCAAACTTGGCAATAGCATCATCCTCGATACACACAGCAGGAAGTTTTTTGAACATTGTCCCCAGCGAAAACATCTAGTGTTCCAAGTGAACAACATGGCACCTAAATCAAATTAAGATTCTCTAATGATGGTGACTTTCAGCAGGACGTTAGTCCACCTTTGAATGCACTCAAAGATGCAAATGTCTCCTGGTTTCAGCGAGTTTTCCTCTGTAAATACACGCCAGCCCTTGCATAAGTGTAAAGCCTTTTCACTTGGATACGAATTTAGTCCTACGCGCCAAGTTTTATCCGCAATCTGAAGCTTCACTGACTTCTCATCTTCCCCAATATGCCTAACAGAAAAACTTCGAGGTACATACTGCTAAGTCAAAAGACCACCAGTTTTGGTCCATGTTAATATTGCACTCGAGAGTTTAAAAACAAACACAACCTGAAAGCAGGCATTCTCGTCAGACACACGTACCAGTTCCCATCTTTTCAACCCATGTGAAGTCATTCGAGCTTCGAAACATGGATGCGGTGAGGTGAATGCGGTGAGAGGCATACGTTCCTCCACTAGTGGAGATTCTTCAGGGGCTATCTCATCACCACTCTCTTTCTCTTCGCGTCCCAACTCCATCGAATTGCCTACATTGTTTGATAACACACAGACAGGAAAGAACTCAAAACACAATTGCACAAAGAACATGTTAAACGTCAGAAAAGGTAAAAGAAAGTTAAGGAACCACTAACCCCCAAGCCCCTGTGCAGATGAATGATGCCCAGCTGCACTTTGCTCAATGCAACTCACCATCTTCACATTGTCATTTCTAGTTGCACTACCCCTCTTCATCTTCTTCTTCTTACCACGAGGTTGAGAAACCTCCATAGGGGGTTTACACTTGTTTCTTTGGGGCACATCAACTCCACCACAGAAATTCTCAATCACTTCGACTACAGGCTCAGGAAACAGTTTCAGAACCTTATCAGCAGGCTGCGGGTTGCTAGCAGTTCTAGTAATCGGGTATACAATCTCTGTAGCGGTTCTATCGCATATAACTACATAGAAACTGGAGCAACCCTTGTACTCGAAAATCAGGAAATGCCCATACTTTAGCGAGTGAAACTCAGCAAAATCTTGCCATCCATTCCCAAACCAGACACCAATTCTATCACTTACCAAATCCACCGTCCAACTCAGACCACTAGGGACCTTCAGAATTGCAGAATCCAGCAAACCCTCCCCGCAATTCTCAACGAACCTCTCAGGAATCAACTGCCAAAATATTAAGAAGCGATACGAAGATTAAGAACCACCAATTCGAGCTCCAGCTCTAAACGCAGTGGGGGTAAAAATGGAGGAAGAGATTGTGCTTACGAGCTTCTTGTCACGAAGGGTTCCCTGGAGAATGATTTTGAAGAAACGGGTTCCGTGCGAGTCAGCGAAAGATGTCATCTCGACTTTGGAAGGAACGGCTTACCCGTCTCGCTGCATGAACAGCGAAAGGGTCGGCGGTCTGGTTCTAATAATGATGAATGAAAGCGAGAAAGACGAATGAGAATGCGCCATTTTGCTTGAAACTGGAGCGAGAGTGAGACAGAGGGCTGACTCTCCATTATTGCGATTCAAATGGCAGAGGATAGTTGGAGCCTTGGGAAGTGGGAACTGGTGTTGGAAAGAAACGGGAACGCGAACGTTGAAGGAGGACGGTGAGCGTTGGCCGACGACCGTTGTGTATACAACGTCGGCAGACAGTAAAACTGTAAAAGAGCTGATAATTATGGAGTAAATTACAAACTTGGTCACTCGGATGAGTCGGATTACTAAAAGGTGTCATGTTTAGTCACTAAAAATATTTAATTACATTCGTGTCACTAAAATTAGTTACATATTCCAAGTTTGGTCACTCTCCGTCCAACTCTGTTAACTTTTGCTGATGTGGCGGTCAACTCTATTTGTTGACCGTTAAATGTGTGACGTGACAATTTAAAAATATTTAAAAAATAAATTTTAATTTCTTAAAATTTCCACATCATTTACATCTATTAAAACATAAACTGAAAAAGATGACCCATGACCCAACCCTGCCTTCTTTACCCTGCCCGCCTTCTCTTGCCTCCCTCCGGCTTCCGCCCTCCAATCCTCCAACCACCACGACTGAAGATCTCTGCGCACAGCCTTCCCCTCGCAATGTCAGAATCTGGGACAAAATCAAAGACGTCAAGCTCGTCATCCTCCTATGAGGCGCATAGTGATTTTGTGGCCGTCGGCCTGGAGGTTTCTGAAGAGTAGGCCACTTCACGCCTGCCAAGTTGCTCATACCGCGATTCTGTGTCTGATTGATGGCGATCCCTTGAGCTTGAAATTGCGCCTGGAGTTGGGCGTGAGCATGCGACTGTGGTTTCAATTGGGCATGCACATTGGCTTGAGCTTGAGACGATGGGAACTGATTCTGCAACCCGGAACCCATTTAGGGATGTGCAGTGCTTGTGAGTGTGACTGCGAGAACCCTTGGTTGGGAGAAATTGATGCGTTGATAATTCCAAATGGGAATGATGATTTCCCTAAGCTCTTTGGAGAAGTATTATTGTTAGCAGCAGCCATTGCTTCTTCCTTTCTTTCATAATCTGAATACCAGAACTAGGGCTGGCGGACGGTTTTCCGGTTAGCGGATAATCGGCCGGTTTCAACCGAACCGGCCGATTTTCGGCTAGCCGAAAAACCGATCCCAATGGCCGCGGTCGGTTGGCGGAGGGGAATTCATGGGGCAGGTTAGGCGACTAACCGGGGTCGGAAACGGCGGTTAACCGGCTAACCGACCCCCCTTCCCTATGACCCAAAAACGCCGCCGCCCCCCATTTGATTCACAGCCACCAACCCTCATATATTGCCTCCCTGCAAAAAAACGACATCTACCCTTAACCCTATAATCCCCTCATCAAACCTTCACCCTCACGAGTCACGGCCGCCGCCGAGCTCCCTTCCTCGTCGCCTCACGACCGTCGCCGAGCTCCTTTCCTCGCCGCCATGCAGATCATTCCTCTTCGCGTCGCACCCGTTCAGATTCCTTCCTCACTGCTGCCCAGATCTCGTCCTCATCGCGTCGCCTCGCGCCGCCACCTCCATCCTTCTTCTTTCCCGTCCATCCGTCGTCGTCACCGTCCCCAAGCAGATGGAAGAGGGTTATCCTCTGGTTTTGGTTGGGAGAGAGAGGAGAGAAGAAGTGGCTTGGAGATCGGCAGAGAGAGGGGAGAAGAAAGGGAATTGAGATTTGGAGGGGAATGGAAGAGGGTTATCCTCTGGTTTTGGTTGGGAGAGAGAGGAGAGAAGAAGAGGATTGGAGATCGGCAGAGAGAGGGGAGAAGAAAAGACAACTTTTTCTTTTTGGGTGGGGAGAGAAGAAGAAGATAAGGATGAAAATGTGTGGTGGGTGCTTTTCTTCTTTTTTATTTTTAAATTTTTTGGATTTAATTCGGCTAACCGCGGTTATAACCGATAACCGACCGGTCGGTTAGATGGTGACCGTGTGAAACGCCCCGGTCGGTGGTCGGTAATGCTTGGGGGTCGCTCGGTTTAACCGAAAACCGACTTTTCGGTTTTCGGTTAAACCGAAACCGACCGATTGACAGCCCTAACCAGAACCACCAATTTGCATATCACTACGGCGATTCTTCACGAGAACAATAACCCCATAAACCCAAATTCCTACAAATCAAACGGGGAAGCAGCTGCTACCGCTAATAGTTGACAAAATCACTATTCGACTCATAGGAGGATGACGAGCTCGACGTCTTTGATTTCGTCGCAATTTTTGGCGTAGCGAGGGGAAGGCTCAGCGCAGAGATCTTTGGCCGTGGTGGTCGGAGGATTGGAGGGCGGTGGCCGGAGGGAGGCAATAGAATGGAAAGGGCGGGCGGTAGGGTTTGGGTCATGGGTTTAATTTATAGGATTTTGCTACAGTGACATGCATGTCACCGTGACATGGACTTTTCGGTCGACCTAATCCAACATGCGGTCGACCGAATGGACTAATTCATGTATGTGGGGTTCCGAAACGCGGTCGACCTCTTACATAATACGGTCGACCGCTTTGGTGGTCTAACAGAATGAAAGGTCGACCCAAATATCTCATAGGCCGACCCTTGTGCACCTAACAGGTCGACCGCATTATGAAGAGGTCG